TAGTGTCTTAATTTGTATGTAAGTATTTGTATGTATATGAACTGTAAGTATTGAAAATGTATATGAACTGTAAGTTTTGAAAATGTTTTGTAAAACAACTGTAAATGTTTGAGAAACCCTAGAAATCCCTATGATTCCTACTCGTATATAAAGGTGTCTTCTACCAAGACCTAATTGTTCTGAATGCAGCCTTCTACCAAGACTTAACTGTTCTAAATGTTCGTTTCTTGTAAAAGCGTGTAATCTTCCCAAGTGTAACTATCATTAACAAAATACAGTTTTTACATTTAATGTTTAAGTGAAAAGAATCACTAGACATATGTAAAAGGAAAATTAATGTAGTATTGTAATGTAGTGCTATAAGAACTACTACTGTACTAACTACCTTAAACCGGATTTATATTAAGGCATCATGTGATTAATTGTACCACACTATTGACTGGTTAACAACGACAAATGTAGGTCGTAAAAAGGTATGACGTTTGGCACCCACACACCTGCAGGTCCGGCTATAGCTAGCAGCAAGGTGTAGGATAGTCAATGCAGTATAGATCTATACGCAAACTCACGCTCACCCTCCAAGAGACTCTGGCTACAACTCGGGCCATGCCATTGAAGGCATGCTCCGATACAGTGGATCACAATTATGTCAACGTATTCATGTATATGTAATGTACTGAAATGTTCTACGTGTGCTAGCTGTAATGTATGTTCTCTCTATCTAGCAAGTATAGTAATGTACTGTAATGTTCTAGCTGTAATGTATGTGCTCTCTATCTAGCAAGTATTGACTCATGAATGAACTGGCTCATTGTATGATATTGCGTTCTAGTAGTAGTTCTAGTATCTTCCTAAACTACCCCTATGATAGTTTACTAGTAATCTAACTGGTACATATGGACATGGATGTATACCCTTGCTACCCAAGGGCATTGGATGAACTGGATGGACCTTTATGACTATATATGTACATATGATATATAACTAATGCTTAAACGACCTTCAGACGGATACCCGATATCCCACCAGACCACATCTCAAGCGCGAAAAGGAAATAGGGTCGATAGCCTTCCTAAGTCTTTTAAACATTTCTTATATAACTATACATATATAGGCATGCAGTTGATAATATAAAAGCATAAAATAAGCTTGGTAATACCTTTGAACATAATTATTATCTAAGAAACGATCAACTTGATGTTAATCTATAAAATGGTTTGAAAGCGTGGGTTTGATAAAACAGTTTAAGTATAAAAGAACATTTGTTTGAAACACAATTATAAATGAGTTTGAAATGAAGCGTACAGAGTAAAGTGTACAACTTAATCAGGAGTTTTAATCATATAAAATGTTTATGAAAATCATTTGAAGGAAACTATTTGGTAAAATGGCTAATGAGTAGCTAATCATTTGAATGTTGCATACTAATCACATGTGATTGATATAGTAACTAGCATAATTCTACTTGTATCCCCCCCCCCCACATAAAACATTTAAAAACAGTTAAAACATTGATTAAGGGGTATGAACTCACCTGTAGTACGTGATTAGAATTGAACGGACTGTACCGTAAGGAAGGATCGGACAAGTGCTTGGTGTCTAGTGAAGACTTTAGACACACACAATGATCCTAATTACATATGAAGACATATGTATATAAACTATTAGTGATTAAAACATTAATTAAACATGTATAAACATTCTAATGCAAGGTAAACACTTTGGTCAAGTGCTGGGAGGCTAATGGGTTGCAACAAAGGAGTGCAAGACCTCTCATGGAAGTTTATGGTCAAAAGACCATATATGTTGGAGTTTACGGCCCAGGGGAGCCTAGCCGTAAACTCTCAATAAGGTTCCTAAATGAAGCCTAACATTATTACAACTAAAGTGGTGAATTGCTTTAAGGCTTAAACAAGTGTTTGGGCTTCCTTTTAACTCCTTTGAGGAGTTCACGGCCCTGGGACCATATCCCTTGGCGATTACGACTGTAATCTCCCCTGGGAGGATGTTTATGGTGTTTTCAAGTTCCTAGCTCATTAGTGATTTGTTCTATGATAAGTTCTAGCCATGTGGACGCATTAGGGGCACAAGATCACCCCTTTATAGAGTTTTCAGTCTAAGGACCAATCCTTATGAGCTTACGGCCATAAACTCTATCGGAACATTGTTTCTTGGTTGCTTTAGGTCCTTAACATCTCAAGGATATTAACCAAGCTGGGTTCTGGGCATAAGGAAGGAGTTTGGGTGTCATTTGCCCCATTTATAGGGGTTTACGGCCCAAGAACTTGTCTTAGCTGTAAACTCCTTTTTCCTTGTGTTTCCTTATGGTTTCTAGGCTATAAACCCATTAGGGTACTTGTCCAAATTAGTCCCTTGGCTTAAGAAAGGATTTTAGGGCATTTTGGCACAAAAACATGGAGTTCACGTCCCAAGAACTTCCTTAGCTGTGAACTCACTTCTAGCATTGATTCTAAATTGTTTTGTGGTCTAAAACATGTAATGGTGGCTTCTAGTTTGAGTTCCAAGGCTTTCAGGGACATTGGGCACACTTTGGCCCTCAAAAAAGGAGTTTACTCTCCAAGTGTTCTTGGGCGGTAAACTCCCAAATCTTGGGATTTTGATCCAATTTTGATGTTATAAACTACAATCTAAGCTATATAATATAACTAGATAGAAGTACTCATGATTTGGGATAAAAACCCGAAGATCCGTGAGAGAGAATTCGGCTTTTCTCTAGTTGGAAATGCAACTAACGAATGCATATGGTTTAGATTTCTATATATAGTCCTGAGATTTTTGGCAGAAAATATTTTATTCCCAAAATGAACTCTAATATCATAGAGTATTGGAATAACAGTGTTGCACAAAACCCTAATGCATCCACTCTCCTGATATCTCCTTAAGTGCTAAACCTGAAATACTCAAACTTATACCTAAAGTCTGGAATTTCACTATAAGTCTTCTAACTTCTATTGGCTTGATATGGTTTGTTCAAAATGGAAATTTCGGGTTGTCAGAACTAACGTCTCAGCAAGGGTACAAAGTGTAATTTCATGGGATAGCATCAAATTCACATTTTTACCGAAAGTAACTAAGAATGGAAATTTTTTTAAAACATTTAGTTACTTTAATAAATTCATTATACTTTTAATGACGAATTAGTTGCCTTATCCAACCCGTTCGGCAAACGACCCTCCACCAATCAAGGAAACGGTGGGTGAGAGTGACACCCATTAAACGGTTATAACCTTATACCCCACTTATAGATAAACTTTTTGAATGAGGCCTACTAACGGTAAGACTAGCAATATTCTTATACATATATAATAATTAATCCTTTAATATTACTATAGTATAAGGTTTGAATTTTAACTTTTAAAACTCTACGGTTTTTGGAATTTTAAATATTTCAAATTAAACTTTTAATCAAAAATTTAAAAACCAAAACTTGAGGACATGTTTTGAAACTTTTCAAAACTAACTAGATCAAATAATAGATTATCTAAATTTGACCAAATCCAATTACATGGCAAGATAATTCAAACAATTAGGGTTATCATATAAGGCAATAATAATCTAATTAGTTTGCAATTATCTTCTATTTTGATAAGGATAATCATATCAAATTAATAAAAGTTGGATTTTATTAATCAAAATTAATTTTGGTAATTATCTCAATCCAAAATAAGGCAAAATCCCGGAATTTGCATTCTGATCTGTCACCACGTCGTGGCAATCTATGCCATGTCGTGGTCACCAGGCAAAAACAACAAAAAAATGAAAACCTTTTTGCTTTGAACAATAAACTTTGCATCAAATACAAAAGAATAAACAATCTAAGCTTTGATACCACTGATGGGATTTGAAGATAACAACATTCCTATGGTGTTCATGCAATCCCTAATGCTTGGATCTAGTTTTTCTAATTGTGCATGTATATTGTCGAAGGCTTGCATACAACAAAACTAATTGAATATCAAATAAACAAGTTAGATGAATACCTTGATTGTTGATTGTAGATTTTAAAGCTTTAAGAACCTTAGCACCCCAAATGTTATGCCTCTAATGAATCATAAACACCACAAGCAATTAGATGAAGCAAGAGAGAGGGGAGATGAAATTCATTTCCAAGACTTCTAGGGTTAGGTGTAGCTGAATTTTCATGCCTAAGGGGTCTTTATATAGGTGTGGGAATTAGGGTTTTAGTCATTATCCTTATCTTGTTACTTAGCCACCAAGCAGCCCATAAGATACTTCTAGAACCCTTCATTTTGACGAATTCCTAAGGCCTTATCCTTAGAATTCGTCCACCCTATCCTTTAGGGTTACCCTTACCTAACTTTGGAACTATCACATAATTACAATTCAGTCCCCTTAATTCAATTAACCTCTTTTGACCACAAAAATAATACTTAATTAATTCTTGACCAATGTTAACTAAATAATTTTGATTTTTCTTTTAATATATTATTCTTATAATATATTGATAAACCATAATAAGCTCTTTCTCTATTATTCATCCAGTCAAGTTGTTTTGGTGAAGGCAACCCAAAAGGATCATGCTCTAACCGGGTCAAGTACATACCAAATATAGGTATGGACTTAGACACTAATCCAACATTAATATCTTTTGCCATTGAAACCAATAAGAATATTGTAAATTGAACAAAAAGCTTAAATGAGAAACTTTAAAGAGTAAATTACATGAATCATCCATCGTGTAAGAACCAAAATACATGTTTAGTTTCTATTTTTAAAATGAACTCGGACCATGTATAATCTTTTATTTCACTCGGGTCATCCTTGCGACCATAAAATTACTATTTTACATTTAATAATTTCTTTTTCATTTTTCTTTTATTTTCTTGTCATTTTAAATTAATAAATAAATAACTAAATAAATACCTCACCCCTTCCCTTTGGCCTTCCTTTTCCCAATTTTCTTCTACCTTGTCTTCCTATTTATTCCAACAACAACCCACAACCTTAATGTTGTCCACTTACCTCCATAACGCCAAAGAAAACCACCACGCCGCCCAATGGCTCCATGACTCCAACGAAAACCAAGCACCACCGTCAGTCTTCTCCCCATCAGGATCCACAATCAGATCCAATACCCTACATCACAACGTTCCTCCTCATTCTCTTGTTCTCTTTTCTGATTACCAACCTCCTTTCCAATGAGCTCTACACAGCTCCTGACCTCCCTAGATTATTGTCGTCCCACCAAGTCTCCTGAAACAAAAAGGGTGGACCTCCTAAAAGAAAATTTGGGTACTAGAGTCACCGCAACTCATCATCGATCTTCTTTCTCACCCCTTCTTCTTCAGCATCAATCGAACCACCACCAGTTAACGACATCTCCACTACAGGTCGCCATCACCATAATAGCTCACCACCATCGGATGTATTCTTCAATTTTCATGTGTTACAGACATCATTGTTAACGTACAAGCCCAAAGCATTAGTTATCATCGTTGGCGTCACATTGCTCCATGGGAGGTTTGAGATACTTACATTTTCTGATGGTTCTTGTGGTAAACAATGGAGTTAACGGAAAGAGATAGACGAGGGGTGTGGTAAGGCAACTCATTGTTAGAGTATTGTTCAGTGATCAATAATGTAATTATTTCCGGTGTTGCCAATGGTGGTTGTAGCAAATTCCGATGACTTTGTTTCTTTCTTTAAACAGTCCGACGGTCGTGATGTTTAATATCTGTCAAAAAATTAGGGAAAGAGGGGTTGATGGGGTTTTTTATTTAAAAGGGTTAGGTGGAGCCATAAATTTAATTAGATTTTTTTTATAATTAAAATTAGTCCGAAATATAAAAATAAATAAATTAAAAATTAGAAATGATATTAAAGTCATGTCATGTTTCACAGATGAAGTGTACAAATTTAAACTAACGAAGAACGAAACGTGCAAATTTTAACCAAACGAGGGACAATCCGAAATAATTTTTGAAAATATGGACTGAACGTGTATTTTAGCACCTGCATGAGGGTTACTTTTTGAAAATAGAGACTGAATGTGTATTTTAACACCTACATGAGGGAAGATTCGTATAATTTACTCAACTTTAAAAAGTTTGGATATAGATTGGTTTTTGTTTATTAAATAAGTCGAATAGTCCAAAAAAAAAAACGAATAACAATTTATTATTTATTTATTTTTATTATGACTATAACTATTTATGAATTATTGATTTATTTTTCAAATAAGTTTCAAAAGTTTCACCTAATAAAAAATATTAATATGCATTTTCTCTAAAATGTTTCTTATCTATTAAATAATATTTACATCCTTAGTAGATGTTTATAAATTTTAAATTACAATTAAATAATTTGTTTTTCTTCTTATGTAAAAATTAAATAATATTATACTTATACGTTGTTTTAAAATATTTTAGTTTTTGAAAATCGAATTATAAAAACATATCCAGTTGAACTATAATTAGATCGGATAGGATCGTATTAAAATTTTATTTGAACTATTCGGATTTATATTTTGAAAACCGAAATTAATTTAGATTTACTTAATTGGATCGGATCGAACCGATTCATCTAAACAAACACCCCTAATCTTGCCCCTGTTCCAGTATCTACAAACCACACCTTTGATTTTTTTTATAGCCCCAGGTGAAATATTAGTTTGATAAACTTTGTTTTAAATATTAGTTTGCTACTCTAACAACACCTTTTTAATGATTTGCTACTCTAAACTTTTAATTCCCAGGTAGGTCTAATCGAACGGATTTTGTTGCCCATGTAGCTCTAATTGAGCAAATTTGTTTAGATAAGAGAGCTGAAGAGAAAGATGTTAGGTTTTATGGGTAAAAGACGATTTTGTTCTCACATACTTGACCCATGTTTATACTTAACAGAAAAAAATAATAATAATAAAGGAGTTAACTATAAAAGGGATCCATTAGAAAAAATTTAAACCATAGTGACCATCCTTGAACATATTAAAAACTGATAGAGACTAAATTTAATATTTTGAGAAACACAGGGACAAAATTTATGAAGATTACTCTTATTTTAACCATTTTACTTAACAAACAACTCTTGACAGATTACAGAAGAAAAGAGAGAGTTACAACATCAAAAGACACAATACGACATAATTAATTTATTCCCAACATCAGAATCCTGCACATACGTACGTTTGCACTCACTGACTTACGGGAATCCATTGACCGTAAATCCTCCATCAACAGCAATGGTTTGGCCAGTGATGTAAGAAGCAGCAGGCATACAAAGGAACGCTACAAGAGATGAAACTTCATTTGGTTCTGCAACACGTTTCAGAGGAGTTCTAGATGCCATAACTTCCAAAAACTCCTCTTTTTCAATAATCTGCATATACAAATAAAGGGAATTACGACATTAACTATCAATATTCACTAAAAAGGGCAAGATAAAGAAGGCATGCATATTACATGTTGGACGAGTGGGGTTTTAGTGGCCCATGGTGCTACACTATTAGACCGAATGTTATCTTTAGCCCATTCGCATGCTAAATTCTTTGCAAGCTGATTCATTGCACCTGTAGACGCAAAACTAGCATTACAATTTACAACCCACCCGTTTTCATCAGACATGCATTATATATGGCGCCAAACATGAAACAACCATACCTTTGGTGGCACTGTAAATGGATCCGAAAGGTGTATGAACCAGACCCATAACAGAAGAAATGAACACAATGTTTCCAGCTCCAGAAGCTTTTAAAAGAGGATGTGTAAGTTGACACATATGGTAACAAGATTCCAAATTGGTAGCCATGATCATGGAATACTCTTCTGGGGTAAACTCTAACGTAGTTTTAAATATATTTGTTCCAACATTGTTGATCTACAAGAGACAAGTCCGAGGAAGTAAGTCTTGTGCATGATTGATCATCTGAAAGAAGAAAGAACTAGAGCTTCGGGTAAGACATGGAAGAACTTACTAGGATGTTGAGCTTGCCACCGAAAAGTGATGTAACTTTTTCCACAAACTGTTCCCGTTGGGGACGAGAAGATAAGTCGCAGACGGATCCAGTTACCTTAAAGCCCTTGTCGGACCATTCTTGTAAGCGTTGGTTAAGTACAGACTCAGTACGTGAGCAGGTGTGCACTTGTGCTCCTAACTCCGCCAGTTCCTCCACCACAGCGTAGCCGATCCCAAGTGTACCACCGGTGACGACAGCAGTCATTCCGGCTAGTGACCATCTGGAATTTCTGATTGGACCAGAGAAAGGTGCTGCAGTCGCCATGCTCTGATCGAGTCTGTTTGTTTTATTTCTATCGATATCACTGGCGCCTAATTGTAAAGCATTAAATCTAAGTTTTTGTTTATATGATATAGGAAAGAATTTATTGTGAGAAATTTGTTTTTTAATTATAAATGATAAAGGGGATCATTTCAGCCACATATTGTGCGCAGAATGTTAAACAACAATATTTATGTTAACTATTAACATAAAGTTTAATAGAACGATCCTTTTCATTAAACATTGGACAAACATAAAATTGCAGAATTGATACACGTGGTAGATTTTTTTGGATTTTAGTGCAAATTTTTAATGAATTTATTTTTTATTTTTCTTTCACTTTTTTATTATTATTATTATTATTATTATTATTATTATTATTATTATTAAATACAATAGTGGGCCCACTTATCCACCCCACCTCTCTCTCTCTCACTCTCTCTCTCTCTCTCTCTCTCATTACCGTCTTTTTCTAACCCTCTCGTCTCCATCTTCTTCCTCCTACGATCTACCCTAAGTCTTTCGTTCCTTCTTCTTCTTTCTCACCTTCGCCATCACCTACGCTTTACTCGATGACGGAGATGATAATGGAGAAACAAATCAGGGATTCTCACATCAACCCACCTCTAATTGCATCGATTTTTCTATGTTAATAGGTTTTGAGGAAACAATATTCCTATCAACGCAAAACTCGATTCCCAAATTAACCTACCTCCGGTCCACTCCATTCTGATGATGAAATCGACAACAAATCAACCCTAAAATTACCAATCTTCCTCCATACTTGTTTTCCTTTCACCTACATCGCAACCACCACCATTAGCAACCGAAGACCCCTCCAATGAAACCCACATCTTCTCTGTTAACATTCTTCTCTTCCCGAATACCGGATCTTTCACTTTAAAACCTAGATGCCTCACTAACGAGGAGGTATTAATCGAGTCATCTGAGATAAACAGAAGATAATCATGGTTCGATTTCACCCTTAAAATTGATTTCAGATATAAAATTGATTTAATATTTCATTAGGGTTTACCGGGTTTGAATCTTGACAGATCGACGGTGGTTGAATCTTGACATATTTGAAATCAATTTTGTCCCCCGATATGTCTTCAACTTCTCAATCGATTTCAAAAAGTATGTGTGTATGTGTAAATCCTTCCTAAATCGTTGATGAGGTAAGAATAGATTGCATATAAATTCAGAGAAGAAATCATCACCTCTGTTGGATATATGTTTCTTGGAATTCACTTTCTTGTCAATATTTCTTGTTACCACAGATTCTAGATTCGAACGACGATTAGGAGAGAAGAGGACAGATGAGGAAATGCTGATGTAGAAGTGTACGTGTGTGTGTGTGTGTGAGAGAGAATTTGCAGAGAGGGAGAGAGATAGAGAGAGAGAGAGTGGTGGGGTGGATAAGTGAGCCCACTTTTATATTTAATAATAATATTATTATTAAAAAGTGAAAGAAAAATGAAAAATAAATTCATTAAGGCTGACAATCTTTTTAGTTTGGACAGGGACCAAAAGTGCAAGCAAAGTGGTTCAAAAGGACCATTAATCCAAAAAAAATTGGGGTTTGGACTAAAACCCCAAAAAAATGCATATCACAGGGACCATTTTTGCAATTTTGTCTAAATATTAGGTGTAAAGTTCATATATTATATGGATTAATTAAAAAAACTAAAAATAAAAGTTTAAATATTTAAAAACTTTGAATTTATAAGAAAATAAGAAAAAATAATGAATTATTAAAATTGGTTTTTATTCTAAATTTAAATAAATAAGCAAAATAAACTAATGAACTTTAATTTAGGATTTTTAAAATAAAAATGTAAGTCCATTAATAAAATTGATATTCATTTATTACAACATTTAATGTAATTATTACATTAAAGTATTATGTTAAATTTATTAAAATAGAAAAACTCATAAAATGATATGTGGAAAAGAAATTAATTTAAAATACCCATAAAATGATATTTGACAAATTAAATGATAATGTGACATGTGGCAAAAAAAATTATTTATTAGAGTGGATTCTAATAAAATATTGCTTATTTTTTTAACAGAAAAGAAAGATCTATATGTGCACAAAGGTAGCTAAAACCTATAAAATTAATGTGCGTATGTTAACCGATCATTCCAAAGAATATATGTTAACTTTTCTAAACTTGAACCAACACAAAGAAATTCTAATCTAACAAAAGAATCCTTTCATTATACTTGTCTTCTTCTGAACTCATTTCACTCCAAATTTAAATTACTAATTTACCTTTAACTTTTATTTTTCACCGTTACATCCAAATAAACTATATCAGTTTAATGAAAATATCAGTCAATGCGAAAATATGAAATCAATCCCGTAATATTTGGAATCAATTTATCTTCAATGTAATCTTGATAAAACAAGATTTTAATATTATTCAAATTTGAATACTATAGCCAACATGAATTTTGGATTTTATATATACAAGGTAATTGCATTATCTCCAAAATTGAATCAAAGCATTCTTCCTTGCCAAAGCTCTCCGGTGATCAATTGATGCATTGGTCTTCCTCTTCATTTTTAGACATCCTCTTGCTCGCCAAGATGAACTTGGTCTTGCTTTTCTTCCTCTTTCGCTCTTTATACTTATTGAAGCTAGGTTTTTTGTATTTTTAACAATTTTTTAATGAAAATGGTCCATATATTTTGGAAGAAAATCTAGATAGATGGGGAAGTCATGTCTTTCCTTTAGGTTGCTTGTTTTCTTTCATCCCCATGTGAAAGAATGTTTTAGGTTATTTTCTTCCGTACTTTCTTTCTTGTGCTCATCTTTGCAGAATGATTTTGGGATGAAGGTTGAGCATAAGATCATTCTCTCCGATTAGGTATGTATGTACCCACATTTATTTACTTTCATCACTTTAGAGAATGACAAAACTTAATTATTTTCTTCTTCATCTTTTTGATTAAGTTTCTAATTGATTTTTCTTGGGGTACGATGATCTCTAATTCTACGAACCTTCTATTTTGTCATTTAAGCTGAATTTTTATTAATAAATTTTCCTCTTCCTTCAAAACAACGAACAAAATTGATGAACAACCAACTTACAACCCGCTAAATCAACAATCATGTCTCTAAATTTTCAAGATTTGATGTAACCATTGGATATTAATGTCTAATTCCATAACTATAACTAGTAAGACTTGACCCGACCCGACATGGTCCATTTGGGTTGCATGGCATCATGCATTTGGATAAACTAAAATGAAAGAAATAACACTTAAGGTTTGTTAATATATTATAAGTTCTAATATATTAATAAGGTTATTTAATTAGTATTAATCAAGAATTAATTTGGAATTAATTAAGTGATCAAAGGAGACTAATTAAGTATATGGGTTGATTGTGTAAATCATTCATTCTTATATATGTGGGCTTGTGATCCAAGATTCCTTATGTTGGACTAAGTTCAAGGGGTGACCCATAGATACTCCATGGAGGTTAAAATCCATGGAGCATAAGGAATGGGTAAAGTCATGAGTTACATGGTGTAACCCTAATAACCACCATATAAAAGAATCCCATGGCTCAAGAAATCGTGCACTATGTGTAAGTGTGAGGGCTAAACGATTTCAAGGAGTGTTCAAGTTTCTCTCAAGTTATTCCAAGTGTATTTGGTGTTCTGTGAACCATTTGAGGTGTCACACTTTGGGCACTAGTGTGACAACTGTCAATTCAGGTCATTCTTGGACTCATGCATCTTTATAATAACCATTCATGCACAACATGCCATGACCTAGTAGTATAAATTAGGTCAAAAATCTTGCATAAACTAGGATCCAACTAAGGTCTAGGACTAATATACTTGATACTTACAATTCTAGTAAGTTGCTTAGCTACAATAGGAAATGCCAATACTATAATTAGAATAAGCTTCAAACTTTGTTATAATTGAAATAGGGTATAAAACTCTAAAAATAAATTAAAACACTCTAATTATACTTCAACATGTTGTTGAATATCAATCAATGTTCCAAAAACTCTAAACAGCCAAAAATCCAAATTTATAAATCTTAAAGCTTAAAAACTTTATAAAATTTGGCTATAAACTTTCTAATATCAAATTTTATTAATCAAATTATGGATTATACCAATGAAATAGAAATATAAATTACAAGTATTAATCATAATTTATTAGTTAAAAACAAGATTTTTAAATAAATCAAAAATTGCTTAAAGAATCACTTTTATAAAAATTAGATTTTTATAAAAATTAGATTTTTATAAAAATTAAGGAGGGATTTTTTATAAAAATTTGAATTTAGGAGAGAGGAGGCTTTAATGCCTCAAAAATCTGGCCATCTCCCCTCTCCCCATGCACTCTCTTCCCAAAACTCATGATTAAACTCAAACCCACACTCCACCTCTTCTCTCTTCACTCTTCTCACTTCACTCTCTTCACACACTTCACCCTCTTCCTCTCTCTCTCTAAACTCACGAAATTTCTCTCATTTCTCTGCCAAATTTCAAGACTTTGAAGACCTTGAAGTGTTCTTACTTCTCTCAAGATCATAACCAAGGTAAACAACATCATCTTCTTCCATAGTTTGATGATTCTACTTCTTTTCCTTCTTAGTTTTCTCTTCTTTTAGGATTCTATGCCTTTCCATGGCTAGAAATCTTTATTCTCCCCTTGTGGTTTGTAGATTCTCACCATAACACAATGCATGTGTTTGAAATGGTGAAAATCCGGGATCAAACCCATGCAAGGAGTGAAAAAGATGCACATATGATCATGTGACATCAAAACATAATATTTCATGTTCTTCTCCATTTCTTGTGTGTTCATGCATGAACGAAAGCATTAAACCATTTCTAGTACATCTTGGATGCTCATTCATTCCATGCATGTGTTAGAAATCGGGCCTTACCAAGGACATGCATGATGTTCTTATTGAAATACCCTAAAAATGCACACAAGCAAACATGCAATCTGCCAGATTATTTTGTTCGACTTTGAACAGTCATAACTCAGTCATTTTTTAACCAAATCATGATATTCTTTTTGTATTGGTTAGTTCCACGAGTTAACTTTCAAACCCAACTGGTCTTACTGTAAAATATTAAATATCCGATTTTTGGCAGATTTTACAAAAAGGTTGCGCATACAGCTCTTTTTCTGTGATCACTATTTTTATCTTGCTTAAACAATGGTCTTAAACCCAACCATAAATCTTAGGAAAAATACCTTAGAAACTTAACATATCTAGTGAGTTATGGTTGAAATTTCGTGGCTTAAAACCTCACTGAATGGGCTACAAAAATTCATGAACCTCAGCCACATCTACACTTCATGCATTATTGCATGCAACTTTTCTTAAATTGTTTGGAATCATTACCCTCATTTCTCTTCTGAATACATTCTTAACATTTTTACTTTTGAAAGCCCTTGCATGCATGAGATAATCTGGAAAATTTCAAGAGCTTTTGTTATTTATTTGATTTATTAGAATTATTGCTAAAACCAAGGGCATAAATCATATAAAATACTTCCAGAGGTCAATAAATCCTAAATAAATTCATGGATGATACTTATGGGGAATAATGACCCCTCACCAAATTTCAGCAATTTTTGTTACTGTTTCATATGATTTCTAATTTTCTTTTATTTAGGACATGATAAATTACAAAACCACTTTTTAGGATGTGAAAATTGTATCTAACAATTTTCGCATACCTTACTTGTGATGGGTGACTCAAGAAAATAATTTCAAGATTTTTCATCATGTCTAGCTATTTTTCCCAATTTTTGGTAATTATAATGGCTTAAAAATGGGAAAAATAGTTCTGATTATCCAAAATTCATGAAAATTTGC